TTGGGAGATGACATAATTCATAAACAACCCAAAAACAGATCTGAGGCTTGAACTAGCTTAAGGGGAGCAGCCTATTCTGAGAGCAGAGTAGTTGTAAGTGTTCCTGACCCTTGTGGAGCTTCACATGTTAAAGCATCCTCAGACCTGAGGGACTCGTTCTCTACCTTCTCCAGGAGCCTTCCTGATCCCGTACCTGATCCTGCTGGTTCTGGAGGGGATGCCTCTCCTTCTGCTGGAGTTCTCCATCGGCCAGCGTCTGAGGAAGGGCAGCGTGGGGGTCTGGAGGGCCATCAGCCCCTACCTCACCGGGATCGGTGGGTTTCAGAACCCTCCACCCTCCTGTCAGAGTGATGTAATTCCCTAACGAGTCTGTAACCCCAGGCGTGGCCTCCATGCTGGTGTCCCTACTGATCGGGCTGTACTACAACACCCTGATAGCCTGGATCATGTGGTACCTCTTCAACTCATTTCAAGATCCACTACCATGGAGCCAGTGTCCTCTCAATGACAATAAGACAGGTCTGTTGCAGCATGAACACTTACAGTGGGGGAAACAAGTATTTGAGCCCTTGCTGATTTTGCAGGTTTGCCCACTTACAAAGAATGCAACGATCTATAACTTTAATCATATGTACATTCTAACAGTGAGAGACAGAATCCCAAAGAAAATTCCAGAAAATCACATCCTATGAATTTATAAAAATTGATAACCATCTGATGAGGAAAAATAAGCATTCTTTGTAAGTGGGCAAACCTGCAAAATCAGCAAGGGCTCAAATACTTATTTCCCCCACTGTATGTAAGTCTGGATTCCTTCTACAGAGCAAAACCCCTCAGGTCTGTGCTGCCAGGAGCATATCTCTGGGCTTTGAACCCAGGGCCAATTCAGAAAGTTAAATATGTCACTCATTCATGGCTGAGAGTTAATGCTCCTGAAATTGCCATTAAGTTATATCAATGATCAGCAAGACTATCAGGTCTTTTTAAGTGACAGTAAAAGCTTTGCGTGGTTTATGGCTCTGGGTAAACTGTGAATCGCTCCAGGTAAAGACGGTTAGGTGGTCGTTGCTTTTGTTCAAAGTTGTGTCAAATTTATAAGTACAAAAGTCTAAACCACTATTCACTGTCAATGTCATAACTCATTTAAACAATCACTGAATCACTTTAGACTAAATGAGGGCTACTGTAAGGATTCCCCTCTTTTTGCTTTTCCCACAAAGAAAACTTCTCTCAATGGAAGAAAGCATTCATATTTATTTCTAAGATGGCTATGAATAATAACTAACCTTTACAGTTAATGACTAACTGCTTATAATTGCTGTTATCAGGCCTGTTCATAGGACACGTTTATGCTAAATTCCACGTCGTCAGCTTCCTGTTTACAGGAACTCTGGAGAAAAACCGGTTTTATGGCTCTCAGGTCTCCAAATAGCTGCTGTGTTACACCACTGACCCTAACTGGACATTTGCAGCAAACAAATGGTCCCAAACAGGATTCTGCTGTTGTGATTCAGACGCTACAAATATCCAAAACCCAGAAAAAGTCAAACAGCTGTGGGCTTTTCAGAGTGGAGCCTCCAAACTGTGCAGGAGGGCCTGATTCTGGGCTCAGGCTCCAGGTCTACAGCCCTGTAGCAGTGGAGTGGATTTACTCGTCTTAAAACACCCAGAAAAGAGTTAAATAACCGTAAAACGTGTGGAGCAGGACTCTGCCCTAAAGGCTCTCAGGACAGTCTGAGGGCAGAAAAGTTCATCAAAACTACAACAAGACCGAAGAGCATTGTTCAAAAAGAGAAAAATGATATTTTAACTGACTGATTTTATAGATTAACATGTAAACAGTGATTCAAACTCTACTCAGGTAGTGGAGCATGTTGGTGGTAAAGATCCTAAGATGGACTTCAGATAGAAAAGTGACAGGTTAAAGTTAGTTGTTTTCTCTTTTTCACAGTGTTACTTCAAATGACAATTTCTGTTCCTTTAGGTTCAGGCGGCTTATAATATTTCTCAGTCAGATTAAAGATTATTCCTGACTGTTAGTGTCTGATTGAGGATCGTGGATGAAGTTCAAATCTACTTTCATAAATTTTGCAGAGTAATCTTGTTTTTCCAACATGTTCTGTTGTGATTTGACAGGTCCTACTAAAAAGATTCCCTTCAAAAACAATTATTTTATTTAAAAAGCTCATCTCGCATCAAGTATTAAACTGTAGCAGCCTGATGCTGGACTGGGCTTCTGGAGCTTCACATGTTAACCCTATAATGCCAAATGTTTCATATCTGATACATACGGTTTCTGAAATGTTTTGCGCCTGACTCCTTTTGCATAATTTAATGGTAAAAACTTTGCTCAAAATCCTATTGTACACAATCAGATACACCTGATAACAGGGGGCAGAAGACTACACAAAAAATAATCTTGACTTATCGCATAGTAATACATTTTTAATGTCAAAAATGTATTTCTGTTTTTTCTTTTTACATATTTTGTTAAAAGGCCAAATGAAGACTTCAGACCAAAAAAAAGTAATTTTCTGTTTTGTTTTATTCTTGGATCAGGCTTTAAAGGGTTAAAATGTAATTTTTCTCTTTTTGAACAATGCTCTTTGGTCTTGTTGTAGTTTTGATTAACTTTTCTGCCCTCAGACTGTCCTGAGAGACCTGTGCCACACGTTTTACGGACGTTTTCTGGATGTTTTAAGACGTTTCACAGCCTGTGCGTCATGACAGCAAAACCAGGTGACTGCGGGGGGGCACGTGTTTGCTTTCTTCACAGGCGAGTGCCCACTGGAGTTAGGAGTAAATCCACTCCACTGCTGCAGGGCTGTAGACCTGGAGCCTGAGCCCAGAATCAGGCCCTCCTGCCCAGTTTGGAGGCTCCACTCTGAAACGCTTCTCAGCTGTTTGACATTTTTCTGGGTTTTGGATCTTTGTAGCGTCTGAATCACAACAGCAGAATCCTGTTTGGGACCATTTGTTTGCTGCAAATGTCCAGTTAGGGTCAGTGGTGTAACACAGCAGCTTTTTGGAGACCTGAGAGCCATAAAACCAGTTTTCTCCAGAGTTCCTGTAAACAGGAAGCTGACGAGGGTGGAATTTAGCATAAACGTGTCCTATGAACAGGCCTGATAACAGTAATTATAAGCAGTTAGTCATTAACTGTAAAGGTTAGTTATTATTCATAGCCATCTTAGAAAAAAATATGAATGCTTTGTTCCATTGAGAGAAGTTTTCTTTGTAGGAAAATCAAAAAGAGGGGAATCCTTACAGTAGCCCTCATTTAGTCTAAAGTGATTCAGTGATTGTTTAAATGAGTTATGACATGGACAGTGAATAGTGGTTTAGACTTTTGTACTTATAAATTTGACACGCCTTTGAACAAAACCAACGACCACCTAACCGGGATATGAAAACACCTCTGCTGTCAGTGGTCTTTACCTGGAGAGATTCACAGTTTACCCAGAGCCATAAACCACGCAAAGCTTTTACTGTTACTTAAAAAGACCCGATACTCCAGCTGATCATTGATATAACTTAATGGCAAATTCAGGAGCATTAACTCTCAGCCATGAATGAGTGACATATTTAACTTTCTGAATTGGCCGTGGGTTCAAAGCCCAGAGATATGCTGCTGGCAGCACAGATCTGAGGGGTTTTGCTCTCTAGAAGGAATCCAGACTTACATACAGTGGGGGAAATAAGTATTTGAGCCCTTGCTGATTTTGCAGGTTTGCCCACTTACAAAGAATGCTTATTTTTCCTCATCAGATGGTTATCAATTTTTATAAATTCATATGATGTGATTTTCTGGAATTTTCTTTGGGGTTCTGTCTTTCCCTGTTAGAATGTACATATGATTAAAGTTATAGATCGTTGCATTCTTT